TGTGCGTCGCCCCCCCCCCCCCCCCCTCCCCCCCTCCCCTTGACGGCCCCTGTTCATTGTCATTTACAAGGAGGTGGAAACGTTTTTAGACACGGCTAAAAAATAGACATTTCTGAACACATCTTTTGCTTACTATCACTCCGATTTAAATCAAAATTGAAACAGGATGTATATATGTCACCCTTTGTGAACCATTTAATGCGTAAAAATCCGCGGGTACTCGATACGTGTTTGCATGCCAATCAAATTAAAATGTATACGTGAGAGAAAATAGTAAATTTTCGCAATTTTTGTTCGCAGCTATCTTTCTTTTAAATAATGTCATTTGGGCGATGTTAAGCAAGAACGTTGGATGGTTCCTATAGATTGTATTCCTTTACGTTTTACAGTCAGTTATCGAGCAGATTAACAATTTTTGGTGTACAAAAGTAGGCTTCGTGTGGTTGGCGGTTAATTTATGCAAATTACTGCCCCCAATATAACTTGGCAGAATGTAGCTCTGGTTAATATACTCTTATAAAAAAAAATAAATCGTGTACTGCTAAACGGGGACGGCAATGAGAATGACATCAAAATCAATAGATCTAATTAGCAAAAAAACAAATTTGCACCGGCAGCACTAATTAGCGAAAAAACAAATTTGCACGTGCAGCACACTTTTTTGTACATTTCTTTGCCGTTGTTTTGCACGACTAAAACGTGAAACTTCCTGGTTACACATTATTTTGTAGTATGTGCTCACCAAAAATTTGTTGCCTGTGTTCCTGTTCGCTTTTAATTGGTGCTCCGCAGCGCGCGCTTCGCGGTGGTGGAGGGTGGGGGCGGAAGGTAAACGGTTACAATGTTTGATGTGAAACATCTGTTGTGTTTTCTACATTTTTAGATTTTTCCTTTTTAGTGACGGAGAAACAAGATAATCCACTCGCTCTGCGCCTTCAGGACAGGACCTTTGCTGTTTTGGAAAATCAAATATATTCAAACAGTAATAACTGATAGCTAGGCTTTTGTAGTTCATTCAAGTTTTTTTGAAGTGACATTGTATCTAGTGGAAGATAAGTTCTTTGTATTGAAACCTTATACATACCATTAGTATATATTGAGGAAGGTGCTTAATTCGAAGTGTTTTTCGTTGTAGATTTGCTTTAAGTGTAGAGACGAAAACATGTTAGATGAACATTGTTATTGCAAAGTAAAGTAGTTACTTTCAAAAGTAGTCGCCTTGGGTTCTATTCCATGGTTATCTGTTTGTCTACGTATTTCCGGTCGTCGCCTCTCTCCACTACCGGAAATACGTCTGTGTCTGTAGGCTAACCTCATGCAGGCATTGAAATTATTTGTAGTATTTTCTACATTTTAAGTGCGTTATAACATTATCAAGGATAGTTTGCTTGTGTTACGACAACAGAAGTTTCCAACTGTAAGTTTAATTAATTGTACTCAGCCAGCAGTGAAAGCTTGCAATTATATTTGAAGTTTTAACGGCTTAAAACGTGTAAGAGACGTTCAGAAGAAATTTACTGTTAAGCAACTGTATTGTTTTTTACAGTATGTTAAACCATAAACCGTTGTTGACTACGTATAAAAATGGTCAGTTTGGAAGGAAAAATCACTGTGTGCATTACAGGAGTAGAGTGGTCATAAATTTCACAGATTTAATTAATTAAACCTTGCATAACAGTGATGTTGTGCATTAGTTATGATATGTATTTTTAGGTAAAGGAACATTTAGGATCTGTTTACAGGGAAATGGGGGACCCCAGGTAGGTGAGGAGTTAGGTGGGGTAGCCTGTCTGTCTATATAATTTCTGATTTCAATTTGATCACGATTACATGATAGGTGGGGTGACCATATGAGGGATTTTTTGGACAGGCGGGTTACCTAACCCACCTCCATGTAAACGGGCCCTTAGTATGATAGATCTAAACAGGCGGATTACATTGTAAATCAGTTTTATGTTCGTGTCTTTCGTGACAACCACATAATTTTTTTATTGGGACAAAAAAAGAATTTTTTTCTTCCCCCTTGAACTAAGGAGACATTTTGGAAACATTTTATTAAAAGAATTCTCCTCTGAGGATCATTGCTAGCTCACGCGGTGACAAGGTACTATTAACAGTATAGAATTCCTTCAGCGTGGATCCTAGTGCCTCAATAAGATGATGTTTGTACAACAGTTGCATGTTTTAAGATCTGATCAAGTATAAAACTGTTGAGAAGCTTATTGTAATCGTAATTGTATTGTGCCTGTCAAGGATGCGGTTTCCTGGTTTATAAATTGATCAAGAAAAATTCAGTCGATAGTTTTGGAAACTGAAAAGTAGGTTAGGTCATTCTAGGGATTGTTTGTAACTAATCGAGTAGATTAAACTTGGTATAGTTGAAAAAACGTAATTACACTGATAACAAAGCGTATTTCTCAGAGAAAATTAGGTCTGGTTAAACCAGGACACGGTACTGTATTTCATGCAATCTGGGCATTTAACTTTTGTAGTAAGAAAATGTGATAGCAAGGTTGCTTCAGTACTCAGAAAGTACTAAGCAACATTTACAAAGCTTATGTATCATTAGATGAAAGCGTGAATCTCACATTTTACTATCAAATGGCTGACCCTGACTTACGTGCGGAAGTATAAATTTAATAATAGACCAATTTCGACATACTGAAATTCATACTTGGCTCCGAAACTTGGGGGAGTAAAACAAAAGAAATGTTTGATTCATTAATGAGCCTCAAAATTATTTCTTTTGTTTTATTCGCCCAAGCCTCGGTGTCGAGTCTGAATTTTAATGTATCGAAATTAGTCTAAAATGTTTGTAAAATGGTTCTCGTTAGGACTGTTTGATTTCGGTAGTTTAGTTTAACATAAGGTAATTATTACAATTCAACTTGTATGATTTTTTAAGGAAGAGTGATTTTGTAAAATTATTTCATGAAGGTAGAATATTAGAACCTAGTAAGAAAGGATTCCAGTTCCATAATAATTTTGAAAGGCTGAAAATTTTGTCTCAAGCCATTTCGCGCACTATTTGTATCAGTTTTTAAGGAAAAATACTAAAAAGAATAGTGTTTTATGGACCTTTTCTGAGTTGATCATTGAAAACCTAGGCCCAATCACTAGGCGCTGTAGTTTTGAGATATTGTAGAAGCTCAATTAAAATGTAAGAGTATTTTAGACCAGACCAGTATTGTAAGAGTAATGATTATCATTATAGATTTCCTATCACCGCATTTGATGAGGCAAACATTTTGTAATAGAAATAAGAGATGAGAGGAAATTGTTCAACG